GAGAGAGAGAGAGAGAGAGAGAGAGAGAGAGAGGGATTCTCTTGAAAAGAGGAACAGAGTCTTCTTTCTCAATTACTCAGCTGCTCACTCCAGAAATGTAAGTTATTTCAATCCTTAAGGAAGGCTTGCTGGTTGCCAGCAGGGAAAACAATGTTACCCCTTATTTATTGCTGACCTCAACACTAGCCCCTATTGTACCACAGCCAACTAAGTGCCCCTTCTCCCTCCAAGATCCAAGGTGCCTCAGGGGAGGGGCAAAGGGGAGCCTGGGTCTCATTCATGTCATGACTATATTAAAACGAGCTGCTCTGTAGTGGTCAGACAATTAACAATCGACGTTTTTAGCTGGTGGATCACAGGGGGGTGTTGGGGATGTTAAAGGCCGCTCCAGCATCAAGTTTGGAAAAATGCAGCAGTGTATTGACATTTGGAAGGCTTCTGGTTCCTTTGTGGTGGGGATGGCCTTGTTTCTCTCCTCCACGCTTGTGTCTGCTTTCTGGGGACGCAGGGAGGCATCCTGATTACATGCGGCACACATTCGCAGGCGGTTGCAAGCTCCCAGGGCAGCAGGAGCCCTTAAGAAGATTACAGCGGCTGCATCTCCCAATGCCTCTAGGTGGAGTCATATTTAAACAGCCCTGGTTGTGCTTTCACCAGCCACCGTCTGCCAGGGCAGAACCATGGATGGAGCCGGGGAGCACGGAGACTTGGACCCATGGATCCATGGAGAGACACAGAGCAAGAACTGGTACCAGTTACTATGGATATAAATGCTGGAAAATTAAAATGGATTTCATACAACACATTTGGATTTTAAAATCAGAAAAGGAAGTAGGATTTATGAGGAGGATAATAGACACTCCAAGCATGAAGGAAAAAAAAAAAAACCACACAGAGAAATACTCAATAAACCAGGTGTTTACTGGCAGGAAGTGTCCTCTGGGGATCACACCGAAATATAACTATGTGATGTCAATACGCTGATCTTAGCCTGCAGCGATGTCTTTATCTACAGCTCCTGTAGCAGGCACCTCTTTATTGACGATGGCTTTCTGGAAAGTTGCAAATGCCTAACTTGGAAAAGGTGCCATGCAACTAGTGGGGGAGGGGTTCTTATGACTTTCTTTAGGTCAGACCAGACAGGACATTCCAATCTCCCCCACCTAACTGTCCATTACCCACTCCCTTCTCCTGGTGCTCAGTGCTCCATGGTAGGCCTGAGTAGCATGGGAACTGGGAACACAGGAGGCAAGAGCTAACCTTCATGATGCCACATCTCAGATGCTCTGTACTCCATCATTCAGAGGCATGCTCATGGTAGGGCAGGCCCAGGGCTGAGAGTGGGCAGCTGGGCCTAGAGGACTATCTGGGATGGCCTCCCTGCAGCTTTGTTTAACTCCAATTCCTAAGGGTCTCCTTCCTGGCCCAGGATGATGCAATTTGGCGGAGCCAAGCCAAATTGGCAGGTCTTCAGGGGGCCAAGAGGAATTTTGAAGAGGTTAGGGTTTATGGCAGCTATGTAGCCTTCTTCACGTGGGCCGCTTGGGGAGCCTCACACATGACAGTGTGGAAAGTCCCTCTCCATTCACAATTTGCTTGAGAGTTAGAAAAACTATCCTGATTGTCCTCCTTCGAGTTTGCTCCATTGTCATTTCCCCAGAAGGCAGGGGGACTCTTCACCCCACCCTAGGGTTGGGGAATTTATGGTGGAATGTTCTTTGTCCTGTCACCAGTGGGAGACTACAAGTGCTTCCACAATGCACATCTAGAGAGTTCAAGATAGGCCTGGAGAATGTGAGATTCTAAATGATTCCTGGTTCTGAGATCCTGCATTCAGGAATTTTTTTCAACCTTGGGTACTTAAGACCAAAAAGAAAAAAAAAAAAAAGTGTGTATGTCTGATACATTGCTAGAAATGGGTATTACGGTTTCTGGCTTATTTTGAAAGGGTTGGGAAGACTTATATGGAGATTTATCCTTTTTTATGCAGAAAAAAAAATCAATCGTGTCTATTAAAATCATAGATTTGCCTCTAATTGCACCATGGTTGAATCATCAGAAAGGCAGCTGAGTATCCAATGTCAAGAAGACATCCCTGAAAAGGAGAGAAAATTGAGTCTTGCAAAAGTCAGCCCAATCCAAGTTCCTTTTCTATGATGTGTTAGAAGGAACAAAAGTTAAAAAAAAATTTAGTCAACAACTATTCAAGTCCACTCAATGCTAAGACTGTCCTTAGAAGCTAGGAGATTTGGGTTGCAGAGAATGGTTTCATAACAAAAAGACTTTGGCATAAAATATGCCCATTCCCTGTTTTTCCACTGTAAATTTTATAACTTTGCCAATGAAAGAAGAATCTGCACATATGAAGATATTTAAAACTTGATGAATTTATCCACAGCTGAGCTTGGCTTGACTACAAAAGGTGAATTCTGGTTCTTAACTCAAGGAGTGGGGTAGTGATCACTCCAGGTTTCCTCTAGTTGTGAATGACCCCAGAGATGCCACTGGGCACCAGAAAAAAACAAAAGAAAACAGGGTTTTGAACTTAGGTCATAGGAGTATCAGAAACCAAAACCCCCAAATCGAATCCCCTCCCCAACTCCACATTTTCCACTGATTCCTTTTCCAGTGTTACTTTTTAAAAAATATATATTTTTATTTTAGTCTTTATTATTATTTTTTCTATGTGGTGCTGAGGATGGAACCCAGTGCCTCATGCATGCTAGGCGAGCACTCTACCTCTGAGCCACAACCCCGGCACCTCCAGTATTACTTTTTAAGTTATTTAAAATTCCTTTCTCTAGTCTGCTAGGGATTTGGTGATTTGAGATCTTTTAAGTTTGTGAGTTGTTTTGGCCTCCTCTTTTGTTGGTAGTGAGTCTGGTAATAAAGAATCTTTTATATACTCCCTATAGGACAGACACGAACCCTCCACTCCAGCCACATGTCCCCTGTCTGTCCCCACAGTGTGGGCTTCTGTCTCTCAGTGTAATTCTGCCCCACAGCCTCCTCAAAGAAAAGCACCCAGAGCCCTCTGTATGGCTATTTGCGTTTCTGTGTTTACAGTTTCCCTTTCTTTCTTTTTATGAATCCGACTAGCAAACATAGCTGTGTTTGTTTGGATTTCTTCAGCACGTCCACCCATTTTCTTTCATGTTCTGGGGATGACGTCAACTTTGTGTATCTTCTCTCCAGACTGCAACCCTGGAAATATGGGTAGAAGACTTGGCACCTGGAAGAATGGGAGCTTTTCTGAAAGCCTCAGTTTTGAATTTTGCACTTTGCATATATTTACATGTTGATTTTCATGCCAAGAGTTGTTCTTGTGGATGGGCACCATGGCAGGTGTGAGTGACCCTGAGGAGGCTACAGGGCTCTCCTCTTGTTCCTCATTCTTAGAAGCATGGCTGTCGACAGGGCATCTCTTCTGGAGGCTGTCCCAGGGCCTCCCACAGGGTGCCTCATTGCTCTATGCCTGGGCCACGTTTCTTCCCATGACTGGCACTATTGTTTCTAGGCAGACCATAAGGCTTGCTGCCTCCTTCACAATTCTACTTCAGTATGTCATCGAAATAGCAGTGCTGAATTTTGATACCCTCTTGTAGGTTTTATCCTTTAATACCCTCTTTTCAAAATTTGCATCATGGGGAAAGTTAACACTTCCTTTTGCTGTGGCTTTCTGGAGAAGGTAGCTTGTGCCTTGTGGAGTATACAAGTTTGGAGGCATAAGACCAGAGATGAGATTTTAATGGCTATGCTCATCTTTGTTCTGACTTCCTTAGCCAGCTCCTTGGAAGATCCTGTTTAGGTTGTTTTCCTTTCCTGGTCAGTACATGGGAGCTGAGTGATAGCTTTAGAACAAGGGACTTTGCTATCTGGTAGACTCCAGAGAGCTCCTTGATTTTTCCTCTCACTTTCATAACCACAGGATGTTAATTATTTCTTCACTTAGAACTTACTCATATTACAGTTCTCCTTTCAATTTACCTATATATTCAACAACTGTGCATCTCTACATGCTGAGGTTTTGTACACCTGTGTCCTCTGCTACACAAAGGCAAAAACGATGTTTGATTTTTTTTTCTCTCTCTCTTCTCTCTATCCACTGCTCCTAGCAGAGGCGGTGGCACTGATGTGGCACTGATGGGAATCTTGCTGAGGACTTAAGGGGATGTAGATGAAGCTGTTGAGGGACCCCACCCCAACATCCCTGAGTCCCAGACCCACAGAGCACCGGTCCCTGTGACCTTCCTGTGGCCAGAAGCATGAAAACCCATGACAGACAGACCGTCTTGGGACCTGAACCCTGTGACAGCCTGGGCTCCCTCTCCAGCACAGCACACTTCTGCTGACCCCACCCCTTCATTTGATTCCACAGTCTCAGGCAGACAAATCTGACAAATATTTAGACAGAGTGGATATAAAAAGTGCTTTCAGCAGCTACCACTTCCTTTCAAGAACTGTTTAATGAAAGAGAAAATATATATGAATAGTTCCCCTCACACTGAACTCAACAGGCGCCGGTCTTGGGCCTCTTGATGACAGGGCTGACGGCTTCCTCGTGAACTGGACTCCATGCACGAATTGTAAAACTTAGGTTGCTGGAGAGGGCAGACACTTGAAGATGGAGCGGGAGCCTCCAAGGTAGGGAGCAGGCAGGGGCAGGGGAGATACTCAGCACCATACATAGGAGACATCAGAGACCAGGGCTCGCTATGTGGAGAGTGTACATGTGGATGCTAGGGTTAGCGCCCTCTGGGTAGGAGTCCGCTGTCCCCAGTGGTTGACATGAGCTCTGGCCTATATTTTTAAAGGCCTAAAAGTAATCTAAGAGGAGCCTGATGGAATCAAGGAAGGGCTATCTTTTTTGACTGCTTTTCAGGGAGTCTGCTTCCTGGCATATGGGATGTTGGGGATCACTGGATAGAGGGGGTAAAGTGGGTCACCAAGATGAATTTCTAGGGAGTCATATTCTAATCCAAGCTCTGGTGTGGCCCCAATTGGAGGTTCGTGGTGAGAACTTTAGAGATGCTAAACAATGAAAAGATTATGTCCTTCAGCTCCCAAGTAATCCCAAGTAAAGGCAACATTAAACCGTGAAGTAATTGAGAGGAAGTTCAACCAAGTTTTGCTTTTTCCCATGAAGATTAGTTTGATTTTAAAACTACAAAAAATCAGATTCTTTCAAAAAGTGTTTTCTATTCCTTGGGTAGCCCCCACTCTGCTGGTGCTTGGCCTGCCTCCTCCTGCCTCAAATTGGTTGTCAACCTGACCTGGCCTTTCACCTGGGAGCCTCTGTCATGGTGCTCAAGCAGGATGAACCTTGACCCCTCACCTATCTCCAACCACTGGACAATGGATCCCCCTCCTAAGTGCCCACCTCTGGCCTCTTCCTGGAACCATACTGACCTGTTTTGAAGATCTCATAGCGCAGCGAGAAGCCTGCCCCCTGCCGGGCGTAGTCAGAGGTGAACTTGATGTAGAGCATGGAGCCAGAGGAGATGATGGTGGGTGGGGCGATGTTCCCACAGTGCTTGCCCAGGAGGTCTGCAGACTCACTGTCCCCATCCCGAATCTCAATGAAGTCATACCTAGGCGGGGATAGCACAAAGGGGCACATGAGAAAAGCTCAGTCTGAGGGCCTGGGAAGGACCAGTCTCCCTCCAACTCTCCCCATTCAGGTGTTTCAGAGTGATCAACAAAGGGCACTTATGCTGGCTTGTGTGGCCTGGCACGCACAGATACAGGAAGTTGCTCTGCTTTGTTAAAGCCACACAGTGAATAAGGGCGCGGATGGGAGGCTTATCTCTTGCTCACATAGAGCAATAGAATCATTCTCTCAAAGATCTCAAAACAAACACTGTTTTCTTCCTTCGGTAGCACCATTTTTATTTCCATTGTGATCTCTGAATCTTTGTCTTTCTTTGCTCTGGGGTCGTTGCAAGTGACTTAACCCCTTTGAGCATCAATGTCTCCATCCACAAAATGAGAAGAAAAACATCCACTTGAGAAGGTCAGGATGGAGATGGAGTGGAAAAAAATACAAGAGAGGGGCTGGGTCCCATCTGGAGATGTTTCAGAGATATATATTCTCCTGTGTCCACCCCACCCTGGTTCAGTTTCTCCTGGATCATTCCTCTTCTCTTGTCTCTAATTGATAGTGACAAAAACACCTCATCTGCAGGTCACCTCCCTCCCCGAGATGACTCTTCGAGGTTCCCATCAGCAGTGTCTAGTCAACAACGTTTTTTAGAAAGGATCAGTATCATATTGGCAAAAAAAATTTCTCTAAAGGGGTGAATCCCTGGGGACCCAGCACCTAGGAGCACACAACCATCCGTCTCAGCAACAGGCAGAGCAGGTCGCCTCCTAAAATGAGCTCTCCACAGCTTTTGGATTCAAACCAGCCTCAGTAGGGGAGACACCTCCGACATCCATGTTCACAGGCTGGTGCACAAATACTGTCCCACTTTATCTTAACCGCCATGCATTTTCTTTTATTTATTTTTAGTTGTTGATAGACCTTTATTTTATTTATGTATTTACATGTGGTGCTGAGAATGGAGCCCAGTGTCTCACACATGCCAGGCAAGTGCACTGCTGCTGAGCCTGAGCCCCAGCCCCAGCCCCAGCCCCAGCCTCCAGACATACATTTTCAACCACGCATGTGCTGAGCCCTGTGTTCCTTTCTAGGCTTCCCGTGAATCCCTTCATCACCACTGCTAAGGTGGGGAACTTCCTCCCCTTCTTCTGCTGGCCACTGAACTATTATTTCCTAAAAAACCATCCATCTTCCTTTCCCTCCTTCCCTCTATTTTGCACCAGCCTGTTCCAGCAACACATAAGAAATCTCTTCCTGGTGTGTAAAGAGAGGGGCTAGAGATGTGGCCCTCCCTGGGATGTGCCTCCCTGCTCCTGTCACACACGGGGTCCGGGGGAGCTGGCTGCCTGCAGAAGTGGCTGATGTGTGCTGGAGAAGCCGGAGGAAACTCCCGGGAGCCATATTTCAGATGGCTCAGTCACTTCCAAATAAATAGGCCTGTGAAGGAAGAATGAGGAGTGGAGCAGGAGTTGTTCCTTCTTCGACCCCAGAGGGCTTGGCGCTTAGAGCCAGAAGAATGGCGGAAGCGGGTTGAGTCTGGAGAGGGCAATTTCCCCAGAAGCTCTGGGGAGAAGGGCAGGCTGAGGAGGCCCCAGGGTGGGGGAGCTGTTGAGAACTGGGATTTCAGTGTGGGAGATGGTGCTGACTTTGAAAACAGGCTTTCTCACTTCCAACACAGAAGTGAAGAGACAGAGTGCCTGCTCAGGGGAACTCCCAGCAGACCTTCTGGAAAAACCCCTCCTTGCTCTTTCTACACTGAGATTAGCACTGCAGAACAGTCATCCTGCACTGAGCCTGTGAGGGCCCAGCAGCCTGCACAAAGACTGAGGAGCTGCCACCTGTGTTCAGTAGCCTTTACTCCCTGAGCTTGCTGGGAGGAGGGTGTGCAGGGCCCTGGGCACAAGTCTCAGTCCTGGGAGTGGACAGAGTTGGATTCAGTTTCCAGCTTGACTACATTATTATTTTTTTTTAAGCTGGGTACCCTCAGGCAAGTGACTGAACCTTTCTGAGCCCGAGAAAGGGGGATGATAAGAGTGAAATAGAGATTTTAGTATCTTCCTCCTAGGGTTGTTGTAAGATTTAAATGACCAATTCTAATCTATAAAAAGTGCTACATTGCATGGCACACAGTGTGAGCTTAAGAAAGAAAATTGTGGTTATTGTATTCTCACACCCATTTCAGTGGCAAGGTGATCAAGCCCTGGAGCAGAAGTGGCTGGCCCTAAGAGAGAGCAAATGAGTAGAGGGACAGCATAAGCAGGGATATAAATCTGTTTAAACATTTTGGAAGGCATTTTTGGCAAAATGTTACAAAGGATAATATGTACATAGCCCTTGGTCCAGCAATTCCTTTGCTAGAATTTTTTCCTAATAATCAATTATGCAAAGATGTACATGCATCTTTGTGCATACTTAAAAAAAAGCCTATGAAAAGTGGGAAGATACTTTGTTTATAAATAGTATCATGTTGGAAAGTCCAACCATGCAGGGTAAGTGAATCAATTCTGTTATATTTATAAGATGAAATATTCTGCTGTTATAGTATATAGTGCAGCAGGTCTAGGGTTTTTGTTTTTATGGAAAAATGTTCATGATCACTCAAAAAAGATCTTAAATGTTTTTAAATATACACATGTATTTCCTTATGTAAACATGCAGAAAACATCTGAAAGAGTATATACTAAAATATTAACAGTGATGAGATATATGGATGGTGGGATAATTGGTCATCTTTACTTTATTCTTTTGCATTATCTGAATTGTTTATCATAAAGCCTGCATTTCTATAACAAGCCAAAACCACACACACACACACACACACACACACACACACACACAGCTGCTTCCATTAAATTTTTTTTTTTTTTTTTACAAGAGCTGAGAAAAATAAGTTCTTAAGATGTGGCAGAAAAAAGTAAATTCTTCTTCATCATCATCATCATCATCATCACCATCATCATCCGTGAATGAAACATGGGATATCAGAATAGGGTTGGGGACATGGCCCACATTCAATAAATATTTTTAGAAGATTTTGAATACTCTTACATTGCCAGTTTCTCCAGGAAGGACAAAGAGAGGCCCAGCCATCCCTCTGGCTTGTTATGAGAAGTGGGAGCTTGTATCTGGCTGCCTAATCACCCATGGAGTCTCTCAGTGGATTAACAGAATCAGCCAGGAGGCAGGACTACCCCGCAAATGCCATCACTGAAAGCTTGCCCCAATTTACCCAAGGGATAGACTGCCCTGAATGCTTTCTTGTAATGTGGCCAGCAGCAAATACATCCTTATCTATCCTCATACATGTGTAGTGAAGGGCATGCATTTTTTTTTAAGTTGTAGAAGGACACAATACCTTTATTTTATTTATTTTTATGTGGTGCTGAGGATCGAACCAGTGCCTCACACGTGCTAGGCGAGTGCTTTACTACTGAGCTACAATCCAGCCCGGGGATATATTTGTGATAAAAGAGCCTATTAAAGGATCCCTCTGATGAATCCTTTTGTGAAGCAAATAATCAGCGCCTCCTCGAACTTCTTAGAGAAACTAGATTTTCCCATCAGGTTTGCTTAAGGGAGTTAGGATTTGGCCCAGACCTCTGCTCTCCCCTATGGACAGGCCCCACTTACCACGTGGTCTTCTGACTGTGCCTCTTATATAAAGGGCACATTCCAAATGACATGCTGACTTCATACAGAATGTCTCATTTACCTCCCGTGTGACTGACTCATTTGGGGAAATTTTTTATTATTAGGGATTTGCTACAGCTGGAGTAAATCTCCTTAGAAATTTCAATGTTGTCAGGTTCATTTGTGAAGGACTCGGCAGAGGCTTAGAAAGTTTGTGGCCTTGGAGTAAACGTGGCTTTGCATCTTGCATCGAATCCCCAGTGTTTGTTTGGTGAAGGAATACGGGGTACACACAGAGCTCACCCCAAGGACAGTCAAGGGCGGGGGACTTGAAAAGCGGCTCCTCTTTCAACATATTACTCATTTTCTGGAAGGCAACATCAACCGGCTAACAGACATATTAACTAGTGTTTGCGTTTCATTATTCATAATCTCTCTCAAATGAAAAAATTCCTTTCAAAGCTTTGACACTACCTCTTATTATTGTATTTATTTGTTTTTGCCTGAGCTAAAGTAGCCACCTCTGCTCCCTGCTCTTCTCGTCTTTCTAAAATGGTTCCCCAAGTGCCTTGGCTCTTCTCTCCCCACAGATTCTGACATGTGGAACATGTATCTGGAGGGAGCTTTCTCTGCTTTCTTTGTCAGCTTCAGAGTCTTAATTTCTTCTCCCCAAGTCCACTTTTGGGGCATGGGAATCTTGATGGTGGGATGAATTTGGAGAGGCCACAGGAGAGAGATGAAAAGCAACCATCTCACCTCTTCCTCTAATCACTGGGCAAACATGAACCATGGCTTCTTGGTGTCCATCACTCTGGCCACATCTGGACTTCCCAGAGGGCACCCAAGGCAGCCAGACCATGCTAGAAAACTCAGCAAGCTGAGACCCTGCTCTTGGAGCAGGAGTATGTCTGGCCTCCATGAGAATCTACACTTATGGGTGGGTGAAGAACCATATGTGAAGGGATTTCTATATCAAGGACAGGGTACTTAGGTTCTTTAAAGACTATGTCCTTCTGTGCCCAGGTCTTGAGTCATAAAATCTGCCAGCCAGGCAAATATTTCACACTGCTAGACTCTGAATATTTAAGATTAAATTCTTGACTCATTTAATGTTAATGTTTTTTGGAGGGCAAATTCTTTCCTGTCCACTGAGCCTTTGTACTTTCTGTTCCTGTGCTTGTAATACTCCTTGTTAGCTTTTCCCAAGGCTGGTTGTTTCTCCTCCTTCAGGCCTAAGTGCAAATGTCACCTCCTCAGAGAAGCCTGCCCTGACCACCCTCTTTTTGAACTCATATCTATCTTCTCGATCTCGCCATCTTCTTATTTTCTCTTACAGCTAGTGTCACACTCTGGAGAGCT